CCTTGGGCACAGACCGGAGGCTGGAGGACGTGAGTGCTTGCGGTGAATCAGGAGTCTTGGGGCTTGGTCGTTGCCTGTTCGTGGGGTGGGAGTCCGTGAGTTGTGCTCTCCTGGCGCTGGTGGTGTTGGGGTGGCCTAAGGAAGGGAGCCCCGGGGGAGGGGACGAGGCGAGTGGGGAGGCAGGGCCCAGCCACCTCGGGCTGGGGACCCCCTTCCTGGAAGTGGAGCTGCAGGCTGCCCTTCCCCCACCACCTCTCCCCCAGCTGCCTGACCCTGGGCCAGTCTCCCCAGGGTCTGTCTCCTAGGCACCAGACCTTGTCCTTGTCTCTCGGGCCTCTCCGGCCAGGCCTGTAGGCAGCACCTCCGTTCAGGGGCTTGCAGGCAGGGTGGCGCTGAGGTCCCCCAGTGGCAGGTGGGCTGCTCCTGACCCGGGGGCGGAGCCAGGCTGTGGGCTCTGGTCTGGGCAGGGTCACGGGAGGACAGACGTGATCAGGAGAGTTCCTGGTGGCCCTGGGGACAGGGTTCCTGCACAGGAAGCCAGTCGCCATCTGTGCGTCGAGGGACATTTGCTGAGCACCTGCGTGTCTGGGGTGTGGGGTGGGCCAGGCCTCATGGGTCAGAACCACGAAGAGGGCGGCCTGTGCCCCAGGGAGGGTAGAAACTGAAGTGTGTGTTGAGGGGCGGGAAGGTTAAGGAAATGGCCTCGTAGGTACCTGTGCAGTGCTCCTGGGCCCAGAGCTGGGTCAGGGGTGTGTGTGCCCCCTAAGGGGGCTGCCCACTGGCCCTTCAGGAGCCTGCCCATGGCAGTCTGCTCCCTCTGTCCCTCTGTGCCTCTCTGAGCCCATCAGCTGGGCAGCCTGGGGAGGACACAGGAGGCCCAGGGTGGCAAGCAAGCTAGGTCTCCTGACCCCTGACCCCAGAGGAGGACTGGAAAGGTCACCGCTGTCCCAGGCCCCATCGGAGGTGACTGGGCAGAGGGCAGACAGTCGCACGGGAGGGTGGTGGCAGGTCCCCCAGAGGGGCCCCTCTCGTGTAGGGCGGTATCCGCTCCAGCCAGACTCATTTCGTAGATGGGGAAACTGAGGACCAGAGTGTGGCTTCCTCCTTTCCAAAGGGTCTGGAGTGGGACCCTGTCCCCCTCCTCGCTGTGACACCCTCCTCACCGTGAGGAGGGCAGGTAGCATTTCCAGTGTGTCCCCGCTGCAGGGGGAGGACAAGGTGTTCCGTCGAGCACCCTCCTGGAGAAAGCGCTTCCGGCCACGGGACCTGCCCAGCGGGGTGCTCGGGGTACCCACCCTGGGGGCCCTGCAGCCTCCACCAGCCCCACCCAAGAAGGTCGCCCCTGAAGGTGAGCTGTGGGCCAGCCCCCTGGCTTGCTCCCCGGCACTGCACTGACCCTGCTGTGGCCCTGGCTCTGGCCGCCCGGCACCAGCGCCCGCACTAATGGCGGCCCTGTGTGTCCCTTGGCTACCCTCTGCCTCCGCCCAGCCAGAATGGCCAGGGCTCAGAGGCTGGGGACACCCACAGTGTGGACCTGCTCCTGCTGACCCCTCCCGCCCTGGCCTGGCCCGTGTGCCTGTGGCGCCGGGTAAGTGGGCCAGGCCCAGCCGCACGGCCTCCTCTCTGCCCCTCGCGCCCGCCCTCCGGCCGGCGGCTGGCCCCGGGCACGCGCTGCTCCATCCGGCCGGCGCTCCCGGCTTGCCCACCCGCTGCAGCCTCAACCCCGGCCTCCTGGGCGCCGACGCCTGCTCACCACCGACGCCTGTCTCTCTCTCTCAGCTCACTCCCACTATCTCTATGGACACATGCTCTCCGCCTTCCGGGACTAGCCGTGGCCTGAGGGCTCCACAGGCTCGGCTCCTGCCCGACCCCTGCTCCCTCGGCTCCCAGGCTCCGCAGTGACCCCGGTTGCCCTGGATCCCCGAGCTGACTCGTCCGTGCCCTTGGCAGCCCGCCCCGGCGCTGCCCTGTGTCCTGTGTCAGCCCCCCATGGGTGTGGCAGACTTCGCAGGAGGCAGAGGACCCCGCCTGGGCAGGTGTGACTCCGCCTCCTCCTCCTGGTCCTGCCCTGGCCTGGACTTGGGCCTCCACGGGACACTGTGCTGAGGGCCAAGGGCTGGGGCAGCCTTGACAAGAAGAAGGCACTTCGCACTCTGTCATGCTTGGGCTCTTTGGCCTTCTGGTCCCTGTCCCGTCCTGGCCCTGGCCGACGGCCTGATACCTGTGGCTCCTGCCTCCAGGACCACCCCAGGGCTCTGGGGCTGCAGGAGGCCTGTCCTCCCGGGATCGTGAGGCCGGGGGGCAGTCCCCAGGCCTGGCTGCAGCCGAATCCCAAATGTGAGTTTGAGAAGACTCGGAGAAGTGACCCCTGACCTTTGGGCCAAGGGTTGAGGTGGGGAAAAAGCTATCCACCCCCGACTCTGGGTGCGGGCTGGCCGGTGGGAAGAGAGCCCAGGGTCTGCGGGGGTCTTGCCCTGAAGGACGAGGGGGCGGGGTCTGTGCGCCTGGGCTCGGGGCAGAGCGAGCCCTCACCCCCCAGGCACAGCCGGCTCTGCTCTGCACCCCTGCCCCCGCTGTCCCCGCGGCCCACTCCGCAGTAACCCCAGCCTCGTAACAGTGGGCCTCCCGGGGCACTGAATGCACTCTGACCTTGACCGCAGGTTTGGGAAAAGGGAGGCGGGACGACATCAAGCTTCCATCAGTGAGTCGGGCCCAGGTCCAGGCCCCCGGGCCCTCGCCTCCCTGCTCAGGGCTTCCTGGGCGGGCGGGCCAGGCCTGCCTCCTCCAGAGATGCCTGGGCCCGCCAGCTCGTCCCGTTGCCTCTGTCTGTGTATTCGCAGAGTCACCGGTGACCCGAGCCTGTGCCCGGCCCCCGAGTCTGAGGCCCCCCTCGGTGTGCCCCGGCTCAGTGCGTCCGAGCGGGGGCGGGGTGTGCCCGAGTGCGTGGGTGGGCGTGTGTGCCTGCCAGTAAACAACCTGGTTTTATGACAGCTTTCGTGTGGCTCTGGGCTTTACTCTCTCGGCGCCGACCTGCCGTGTCCAGCCGCCTCCACAGTCCTCGAGGCCGGTGGACCCTGGGAAGCAGATGCCAGAGTTGAGAGCCGTGGTGGCGGAGCAGCTGAGGGCTGGCGAGGAGAGACTGGCTTCCTCGGGGGTGGGCAGGGAGGCGGCAGCCGACTGCTGCTGAGGTCACCTCTTCCCAGTGATTTGTACCTCTTCCTTCTGGCCGACTCCCCAGGAGCACTGGGCTGCATCTGATTGACCCAGTTCGGGTTATTGCCGGTGCCTCCACTGGAGACGGGAGCTTGAGCTAATTTCCCTGAGGGGCCGCCACTCATCCAGGAACCCTCTTCTGTGATGTAATTGTGACAGCTAAGCTCCCTGTGATCTAGGGGAGTCCCTGGGCTGCAGTGACTGCCGTGCGCCGGGCAGCCTTTGCTGCCGTCCCCTGGCGGCCTTCCCCCAGCTGGGGCTGAGGGACGGGGGGCGGGCTGCGGAACAAATCCGTGGGCAGCGGGCACGCCTGACCCTGGTGGGGAACCACCAGCCCCGAGAGCCATCCGTCGCTGGGGGCTGTTCCTTCTTTCCAGAACGTGAATGTGAACTTCAGTTTCCAGTGGGCTTGATAGCTGAGGAGGAATAGACTTTGAAAACACACCGGCCCTGGCTGGCTTAGCTCAGTGGATTCAGCTCGGGCTGCGAACCAGGCATCGCAGGTTCGATTCCCAGTCAGGGCACATGCCTGGGTTGCAGGCCATGGCCCCCAGCAACCACACGTTGATCTCTCTCTCTCTCTGCTTCTCTCTCTCTCTCTCTCCCTTCTCTCTCTAAAAATAAATAAATAAAATGTTAAAACAAAAACAAAAACAAAAAAACACACCGGCAACGCCAGAGCCTACCAGCTCCCTGACAGAGGCGGGGGCCCTTCTCGGCCAGCGCAAACCCCCAGTGCGGGGGGGCAGATGAGGGTGGCTGGTAGTGTCTCTGAGGGTGGTAGTGTCTCTCTGGGAGCCTTGGGGTGTGGGGCCTGAGTTGGGAGGGCTGAGAGTCGGGGGATGGGGGACCTGGAACTCCCCGAGGCCCTTCCCAGCTGGGGAGACTGAGCACAGCTATGCAGCGGAAGGAGCCGCCCTCCCCTGGGGTCCGAGCCTGCTTTGAGGCCACTTCCTCCTCTTTCTTCGGCAGTTTCCGGGGAAACCTTGGGGTCCCCGGGTCGAGCCCCCTCCTTGGGGCAAGTCAGGAGACAGGTGTGGGGAAGGTGTCCTCCTGAGCCCCAGGGGCACCGATGACTCTGGGTTCGTCTGCCAAGGGCCCCGAAGGGCAGAGTCGGGGCTGGAGTGGGGCAGGCTCTGAGCCCCCAGCCTCCGGTGATGCTTCTGAAACTTGCAGTTGGCCCTCACCCAGACAACCCTGGCCACAAGCTGTTGGACGTAAGGAAGTTCTGAGCAGATGCTCACGGCCCACCGACACTGGAGCTCCCGATGGCTCCTGTGCCGTCTCCTTCCAGGGTCTGTCCTCCCTCAGGAACCCAGTCTGGGGACCGCGACCTTGGCCGCTCTTCCTCTCGGGCTCCTGGTGACATCCCACCAGAGGGGAGGCAGGGGTTGGGGAGGGGAGCCCACCGATTCCAGCTGCGCCCCTGCCCGCGGGCTGTGGGCCGAGCAGTAGGCATGTGCCCTGTGAAGGGGAGGACCTGGCGGGACCAAGTGGACTGTGCAGTGTCGTGAGTCAGAGGGCACTGGACACTCAGTGGGGCCCCCTTCACGTCCCACAAGCACTTCTGTGGACTCTGGTTTGCACCCGGCCTGTGGACACAGGACCCCCTTGGGTCATAGAAAGAGCAGGGGTCCCGGGCCTAGTGACCACCAGCAGCAGGGAGCACTGACGCTGTGGAAGCCGCCAGCCTTGCAGGCTGGCCCCTGGGGCGGCTGGGCAGAGGGCGCGGAGCAGGAGCAATGGACACCCCTCCCCTCTGCCTACATCATCACAGACATCCAGCACCCAGTCTTTATTCATTTTTTAAAAAAGGAAATCCAAATAAGTTAGCAAAAAAATTACAAAACAATAGCAAACCCACACGATGCTTAGTTAACAAAAGAAATCACCCCAAGGGTCCCTGTTCCCCTCCCCGGACCCCCGTCCCTGGCAACTTGGCACAGGATACATTGGTCAGATGGCAGCTTCACAAACAACACACAAAACAAACAAAACGTAAAGCCACTGGAAGACTCCCAGGGTTCACCGCAGAAGCTTGGCCCCCCAGGGACTTGGGAACAGAGGGCTGTCCCCTTCTCTTCTCCCAGCTCAGGGCAGGCCCAGCCCAACCTCTGGCCTCGGAGAGAGACAGGAGTCGGCGGTCAGGGCAGTGTCTGTGGCACACAGATGTGTGGGGGTGGGGGTGGCATCGGAGGCTGCGCTGGGATCAAAGGGAAGCTCCTGAGTGTGCCCAGAGTGGGGCGCACACGGCACCCTGGTCCCCTGCGTTATCTCTCTGGAGCCGGGATGGCCTGTGCCCTGAGCGGTCAGCTCAGTGAGCGTGCCCACTCGCTCTCAGGGTGGTGGGTTGACCTTGCGCGCGTGAGGAGGGGTAGGCTGGCCGCCTCAGGCGGCCCCACTGCGGCTGTGGTGCCGCCAGTGGCCAGCCTGGCAGACGCCCTCAGCGGGGCATGGCTTCATCCGGGAAGGCCACAGAGACGTCCTCCATGCCAATGCTGTCCACCACAGATGTGAGTGAGTGCAGGTCGTGGGCCTCGGTGGGGTCCGCTGTGAGCAGGTGGTCTGCAGGGAGGAGGTGGGGGTGGTTACTGGGCGTACACTGTGTCCAGAGACCCAGGACAGCTGGGGGAGCAAAGCTCAGGGGTCCTCCTCCTCCAGCGCTGGGCCTAGAAGCAGCTGCCCGCACTGTGGTGGGGGTGGAGGTGGGCGGGGCCTGAGTGGCAGGTCCTGGGAGGTGGACCTACCCTGGCTGGCCAGTGGGCAGCACTGACTCAGCGACTCCCAGGGACCCTGGGGCAGGGACAGCTCTCTCCCTGTAGGCGGCAGCCACCAGCCACCAGCCACCGGCACCAGCTGGGAGCTGCGGAGGCTGGAGCCACTTCAGCTGGTCAAGGCTTCAGGGAGACATGGGGCTTCCCAGCCCACCCCTGGGGCCTTGGGGTCAGCAGGTCACTGCAGAGGCCAAGGGAAGAAGCCCAGGGCAGGAGTGAAGTGAGAGGGGCCATGTGGACCTGACACAGGCTGAGGGGTTTGAGCCAAGCTGACCAGGGTCCCTCCTCACTTACCCCCTGGGTTGGGGCCGAACTCCAGGGCACTGCCCCACTCAGGACTGCAGGAGGCGCTGTGGGAACTGCATTCACTGGCCACCTGCAAGACGCCGAGGCCCAAGGTCAGGCATAGCGTTCGGTGGTGTCCTCTGTCCGGTCCCCCAGGCAGAAGCTCCTATGTGGAGGTGCCATCCCCCAGCCTGGGCCACAGCCACCCGGGATCTTCACAGTTAGCCCCTGCCCTGCCCCCGCCTGGTGACTAGGCCGGGCCTTTCCTGGCCTCCATCTGGGGCGGACCCTGGGCTGAGGGTGTCTGGCTCAGCCAGGGCCTCTCCGTGGGTGCTGGGGTTCCAGGTCAGGGGTGCGGCAGGGCCGTCCTCGCCCGTGTACTTGGCCTTGCTGTTGGGCCGCACCCCCAGGCATCCCGGCCGGCAGACCCTGGACTGGCTCCTCGACCCCTCCTTCTGCCCACTGCCCCCCACCCCATCCCTGCTTCTCTTCCCACTGCCTGTCTGGGAAGGACCCGGGGACCCGGGTCAGCCGGACAGCCCAGCCCTCTCAGGGCCCGCTCGGACCTCCCCCGGGGGCGGTCGGGGTGGCCACTTACCCCCGCCGAGGGCCCGCCCCCGCCGCCGCCCCCGCGGCAGCGCAGCCCGCGCTCCTCCTGGTTGAGGGCGCCGAGCAGGGCCTGCAGGCGCTCGATGTACTGGATGGCGCTGCGCAGGATCTCCACCTTGGGCAGCCGCTGGCTGGGGTTGGGCAGGGCGCTCCTCTTCAGGGCCTCGAAGGCCTCGTTCACCTTCTTGAGCCTGCGCTTCTCCCGCAGCGTGGCCGCCCGCCGCCGGTCCACGGACACCGACTTCCTCTTGCACACCTTGCACGCCCACGGCAGGCACTGGCCCGGGCAGTGCTCGGGGGTCCCCAGCCCCTTGTCTTCGAGGGGCCCCCGGGCTTCGGGGCTCAGGCCGAGCTCGGCGCGCTCGTAGCCCGGCGGCTCGAAGCCCTGGAGGTGCGCGGGCAGGTAGTTCTCCCCGTCGTAGAAGTGGGGCTCCTGGTAGAAGTAGGGGGGTGTCTCATACAGCTCCATGGGGTCGGAAGAGGCTCGTTCCTGCCACCAGCCCCTCACGCCAACTGCTGGGTGCCATTTAAACCCTCCCCGCTGGCATGGGCCCAGAGATAAATATAGCCAACGCCGCGGAAACCTGAGCCCCTCTAAGCTGTTGCTACACATCAAGACGTTCACAGCGGATTAGACGTGCGCCCCCCCTCCCCCGCCTCCACCCACCCACCCACCCAGGCTGCCTGCCCGGCCGGCCGGCCGGCGGCTCCTGTGCCCGGGAGGGAGCCCGTCGGGTGTAACTTGATTAGTTTTCATTTCTCAGCAGCCCCCGTGGGGCAGGCAGGGGAGGTGGGGACGCATTCTCATCTGCTCCTTTCAATTACTGCTGGCGGGGGGCCGGCCTGCTCTCTGTGTGCCGGGACCAGGGACGCAGGGGTTGGGGGCAGAGGGGGTGGGTTTAGGCTGGCAGGGGTCTGACGCCCACCGATTTGTCCCTCTGCCTCCTGGCCGTACTCTAAGCAGACGCACCCAAAGGCAGGCGTGGGAACACGGGGTCGGGGCGAGAAGGGCTGAGATGCAGGGACAAGCGGCCTCCCCGTCCGGGTCTTTGTCTCTCCGGGACGTTGTATGTCCCTCGGGGCTTGTGTGCCTGGGGTGCGTCGAGCCGACAGGAATTTGGGGGCCTGGCTTTCCTTTTTGGCAGGGCCAGTGGAAGTCTGGAACATGCGGGCCGGGGGCGGGGCAGCCCGCGTGCCCACCGTGGAGGGTCCCAGTCTCGAGTCTGGTCACCCTGCGTCTCCTCCCTCTCTCCCTCTGCACCTTCCCGCGTGGGCTCCGCAAGCCTGTCTCTGCCCCAGCCAGGCACCACGGCCTTCCTGGCTGCCTGCTGGGGAGGTGGGGGGCGGAGCCCCTCGACTCGGTTTAAACTCTCGCTCTCCTTAGCCACCTGGCTGGGTCCCGCGTCTTGCTGTCCCAGCCGTCAGCCCCACCTGCAGCCTGTGGCCTCGGACGTCGAGCACCAGAAGGGCTCCGTGACCTCTGGGGTCCTCAGGCCCTGGCTCCTCGGGGCCTCGGGGCCCGGGCAGACCATGCTCTGGGCAGTGGGCAGGGGCCACGGCCGGTCTCAGAGCTGCAAGGTCTCTGCCCTCAAGGACCTTGATGGTCACCTACCTGGTGCTACCCAACCCCCAAGGCCCGAGTCTCCTTGCCTGCGCCCCTGCTCAGCTCTGCTGGCCCCAGCCCTGGCCACAGGGAGGCCTTCTCGGCCCTAAACTGCAGCCTGACCCTTTTCTCAATCCCTTGGTCCCAGTTTTTCCTCTAGGGCCCAGTGGACAGAGCCTTGTCCCTCCGCCTTGTCCCTCCTCTGTGTGACAGATGGGACTGATGCCATCCCTCCTGGACAGTGGCAAGGACCACAGAGGAAGGGAAACTGCGGGGATTCCGGGAACACGTCGCAGGGGAGGGGGACCCGAACGGAACTCCCAGGGCCCGGCCTCCCTTCCGTTCCTTGTCAGTGGGAGGAGCTGGGCAAGCGCCGTGTCCAGCGGGTAGGACAGAGGCGAGCGGGGGACAGGGCTGTTCAGCGCAGCCCCGGCATGTCGAGGGCCGCGCCTGGCCCTTGGCCCGGCCAGTGAGGGAGAAAATGCCCCGCAGGGGCCCTGCCCCACCCGTCGGACTGAGGAAGAGTGTCTGTTTCTGAAATGCCCCCACCCAAAAGGAAAAAAGTGAAAGGAAGCTGCCTCAGTTTACACTCCACTCCTATGAGCCCTGGGAATAGGAGGGATGCTGATGTTACCATGGAAACCCAGAAATGGCATCACTTGGTCCTTTCGGGATCCCATCTGCCTCACCTGCCAACAGCGTGCCTCCGTCCCCTGAACCTGGGAACAGGAGAACCGGGGTGTTCCGTGGGGATGCGCAGGACCCCCGTGTCCAGCGGGCGTGGAACGACAGTGCAGCCAGCCAGGGGCCCACTGCGCAGGAGGGTCAGGAGCCTCCGGAGGGCCGTGTGGAGGACACACGGGGTCCAGACAGGGAGCAGAGTGGACGGGGAAGGGGGCGGCTCTGACTGGGGCTCTGGGCTCAGGACAAGCCTGTGGGGTGTGGGGGCCACCCAGCGGGGCCTGGAGGGGCTTGGAAGCCGAGGCAGGGACACCCCGTGGGAGACCGCAGCGGTCATTCGGGAGTGAGACGCCGGAGGAGGGCTTGACCAGGAGAGGACAGGTGTTCCCGCTGGCGGAGGGCTGAGTGTGGGGCAGGTGAGCGCTTGTTGTGATGGACGGGCACCTGGCACGGGACAGACCCCTGCTCCCCACCTGGCCTCTCAGGGCCACAGCCTGGCTGTGCTCTCGGCCTCAGGGAAGCAGAGCAGCAGGACTGGGGGAGGGGCTGGGCCCCTTCCCGTGTGCGACAGACACTTATCCCTTCATCCTCTGGGTCAGGAGATGTGCCTGGCCCCCCTTGTGCTGGGGGCTGGGGTCAGCGACCTGAGCAGGACGTGAACACGCCTGCAACACACTCACTGGTGCGTGCGGAGAGGAGTACGGGCGTCTCACCCGTGGAACACGGTCCCTGGCGCACAGCCCCCGGGAAGGGTGGCGTGCCCCAGAGGTGGGGTGGCCCCCCTGCGCCGAGCTCAGCAGCCTGAGGTGGGGGTGGCCTTGTGAGCCTGCCTCACAGTGGCACTCTGTGCACACGCGTGTGTCTGTCTGAGGGGCCTGCAGACTGTGTCACAGCCCCACTGGGGGGCACAGGCCCTCCCAGGACTCAGAAAAGAGGGTAGCTCGGGTGTCTGTGACCTCAACACCCTGACGGGGGGGAGGGGACTGCCCCTTGACCCACCTCACTCCTCTCAGAGCCGAGCTGGGGAGCAGCCGCCCCTGGAGGCCAGGCCCTCCTCCCCCACGGCCCCACTCCAGGAGCCGCCCTCTGATGGACAGGGACACATTGGGGCCGCCACAGAGCGGGCTTTGTGTTCCCAGCAGTGGGGATCCATCAGCTGCGGCCTGACAGCAGGGAGTCAGGCCCTAATCCCCTGCCTCTTCCCCGCGGCTGGCCTGGGCCCACAGGTCCTGCTGCCCAAAGCCCTGTCCCCAGCAGCTGGGCCCCCCCCCGAAGGAGAGGCTGCCTGGGCTTTGGCTGTCACTTCGCGTGCAGGGCCGGCCTTGTTTGAGAGGCCTCAGGAGTCCCCGTCTCGGCTTCCGCTCCTCCCCTGCCCTGCAGCCCACCCGGGCCTGGTTGTCCGACCCCTGGCCCCTTCCGGGGCTGCCGGGTTGCCTGGCTAGCACCCAAGCGGGTGCCCATTCAGGAGTCCCTTGTGCTGGGAGTCGGGGAGGGTTCTGAAACTGGGCCTGAGCTTGTGTTCCTGGGCTGCGCCCCGGGCTGCGGTGGGAGGGCGACGCTTCCCCAGGCCCCGCGTGCCGAGCCGAGCCGTGGAGGCGAGCTGGCACCGGTCCCTAGGGCAGCAGCCCTGCGGTGAGAGCAGACCACAGTCAGAGGGTCTGGGCTGGGAGCCCCCCGAGGTCAGCAGTCCGCCCCTCCCTCCTGCCAGCTGGGACACTGCGGCCCGGAGGACAGGTCTAGCCCCAGGTGCACGGGACTCCGGGGTCAGAGGGCGAGGGGTGCTGGCTCTGGGCGCCTGAGCTGAGGCCTGGGGCGGAGTCGGGTGCCTCCTCTCCTTGCTGGGCCGGCAGGCAGACCTGGCCCAGCCCCACGGCGAGTGTCTGCGCCCCCAGTGGGCTCCACGCAGGGTGGGGCGGCAGTAGCTGGAGGCGCTCTAGGCTTCAAGTGGGACGTGTGGGGGCACGTCAGAGAGTGGTGTGGGGGGAGACAGACATGCCAGGGCCGGGGGCCACGGGCTGGGGAGGCCGGAGGCCTGAGGGCTGGAGGTGGGAGGAGGGATTGGAGGCCAGCGGGAGTAGGGGCAGCGAGGGGAGGAGGGGGCAGGCCCCACACTGTTTCCATCCAGGACGAGTGTCCGGTGGCCGTGGGAGTCGCCCCTGCCTGGACTCTGCCCTCAGAGCCAGGCTCACCCGCCAGGAATCTCTGGCCTCCGCCGGCCGAGGCGAGGCTGAGAGGCAGGAAGTGGAGGTCCTTGGGGAGTGGGTTTCCGGGGAGGGGACTGGTGGTCATGGGCCTCAGCAGGGTGTGTGGCAGAGTGGACCCGGGCCTTTGGAGACACGGTGGGGCCTCTGAGGAGTGCTTCCTGCGTGTGGGCCCCTCCGCACCTGACTCAGACTCTGGGGGGGGTTCAGGTGGCTGGGGCAGGAGCCCGGGGCAGGAGTTGGTGCGCTGCGGGCCTTTCTCCTCTCTGGGTCTCGGTCCCCCATTCGGGGGTCTGCACGGAACGACCCGATGGCCCCTCGCAAGGTGGCGCTCCTGCCCTGACCCAGCACGTGGGCCCGCAGGGAGCTCGTGTGTGGGGCCAGAGGGCCTCAGCCCGAGGAGTGGACTTGGGGCTCAGCCGGGGTCAGCGAGGACCCTGTCCTTTCCCGTCTGCACGTCCACCCCCACGGTCGGTCTCTCCGAAAGGCCACTGGGCAGCTCTCTGACCGGTGTGCAGACCTGCCTGGCACCTACCTGTCCTACTCACCACTGGACCCCCCGACCTGCCCCTCCTGCCCCCTCCCTTCCGGTGCCCCTCCTGCCCTCCCTGTGGGTCCACAGCCCGGCAGGCCGCCCACCCTCGGCCCCTCCCTGGACAGCTTCTATTTCTGCGCTTTGACAAGTTGTGACATATTTGGGAGCAGCTGCTGCCTGGGTGGGGATGCCTGTGCTCGTCTCCGGCTCTGGCTCGTCCTCCCAGAGCCTCCCCGCCGGCCGCCCCCTCCCAGCATGTGCTGCGGGGCCTTCCCTGCTTTCCCCTCCCGGAGCTCGGGCCTCGTCCAGCTTCGCCGGCTCCTGTGTGGCTGGCTGGGGCTCTGGCCAGGGCTCTGGCTGGCACAAAGGGACCTGCCTGGGAGGGAGAGCAGGTGGCTGCGTGGGTAGCACAGAACTCCTCGGCCACATCCAAGCTGTGTGGCTTGAGGCAGGCCCCCCCCCCATCGGGCTCTACTTTTCTATCTGCAAAATGGGGATAAGTACTGTCTTCCCTGGTGACCATAACTGCTACTGTTGCCTGGTAACCGAGTGGACGGGGAGACCCTCTTGTCTTCTCTGAGGACTTCATTCCGTGTCCCT